TTATGCAACAAAAGCTCATTGTTTCTTATTTAATCTTTAATAAGCGTTTCTTCATCATGACTTCACAAATATGCAAATTAGGTGTCTTAATTAATTATCATTTTATTGGCTGCAAAATTAAGAAATAAAGGAAAGAAGTCAAAAGATCTGCAAAGGAATTTTGTTTACGATAATCTACATAAATCTCAAATATTAAAGGTAATCTGTCGTATTAAAGCTGTCCTAGAGAGGAATACGCCCAACCGGAAATGACGTCATTTTTTTAAAAATTTTCAAAGTTTCGTCTGCAAAAATAAGTTCAAGTCGAAATGATTCACTATTATATCATTTTCGTCATCATACATGCAGTTTAAATTTGAATAAGAAATAATGTAATCTTATATTTGAATTAAATTTTGATTTGCAGTATTCGTAAATTTTCACATTTTGAGTCATTGGTTAAGAATGTTGTGAAAGTTTGAACTGCAATTGTAAATTATCTGAATTGCGGTTCTGAGAAGCCATAAAATGTGAACATCTTAATTTGGAAACTAGATTTTAAAAGCACACAAGGATGTTTGATTTGTAGAAATGTGTGTTTAAAATTGCGCATTTGTTTGTTATATTCTCCAAATTTAAAATGTGTAGTTGTTCAGGTGAAACAGAAACCGGAAACTAACATTGGGTAATGATTATCATTGGTCAATTGCAATAAAATATTTGTTCATAATCAATCAAACATTCAAAGCGGAAATAGTTCGCCAGTTTTCGGTGGAACCCCCTTGAAAATGGGTTTATAATATATTGGAACAAGCAAATTTCGAGAAAAAAACACAACATTTTGCAAATCCGTAAAAAAAACTTTAAGCACTTATAAACGTGTTTTGAGTTATTTTTGTAATGTTCTTCTTTTTAAATGATAACGTGAGTTTAGTGTTCGAGTTAATGTATAATTAATATTGTATTAAGATATACATTCTTCAAAGAACGTGTATTTTTTTCAACTCAATTCTTGAAATTGATTTGTTTTAATTAATTCCTGTTTAAAACCAATATGCAAAATCAAATGTTATAGATACTGTTTTGTAAATATAGTGTTGCTACCCTTGCGGATCTGTTTTTCGTTGATTTTTTATATAATATTACACTATGCACAAGATAATTCCTGAATAGCATTTCGAGTTTTTTTCCCTTTTTCATCTTTTCCCAGATTTTATTTGCCTCGTAAGATGATAAGTAATTTACTTCCGGCTAGTCAAGAATTATCAAGTCAGAACAGAACATGACAAAAAAGAGAGAAAGATCTCTAAAAGCACATATGCAGCAGAAACGTATAAATACCCCCTCTTTAATGACCCTAACAACATTGAAACAATGCTTTCAAAGCATGTAAGAAGCTTCTCAATTGAAGAATGTAGGGCTTAATGAAAAAAAAATATTTTAAAAGTAGCAGAATGTGAACAAAGTAGTAGTTTTACTTCCATACAAAATATTTGACCACTGTAACTGCACTAATTGCTAATAAGCAATAGAAGCGAAGCAAAAGATGGTTCAAGTAATTGGCCAATGAGTAGCATTTTGGAAACAATTACAAAACACCAAATATTAAAAATTTTTTAGAAAAGAATAACATTTTTATGCAAAATTGGCCTTTTAAAAGGTATTGTTAATGAATATTTTCTCTCAAACAAACTTGGTACATATATTCGCTTAATAAGCTATTTTCTGCTGACAGAACAGGTGAAATAAGTTCATTATTCAAATTTAGGCGCAATCTATGCAAAATATGCAATGTTTTAATAAAACTGATAAATTTGATGTTGGAAATTGTTTAATTATGTTAACAAAACGAGTATATTCAACAGAATTATGTCTCTTGCATTTTAAATCAGCCATTAACATCAACGCAAGAAATCTAACGAACAATTGTTGATTTTTGCGAAAATGGTACAGAATTTATGACTATATAATTAATTGTGTTATGTAGTTGAAAACAATACATTCCACCATGTACATATTAACTGCACTAAGCTACTTGTGTTTGCCTTTCAAGGGTCCTTGAAATGTGCTGGTAATAAAACGTGTCATATTTGAGGTTACCTGTGCATTTTTCATTTGTTTTTATTTCATGCATGTTTTAGTACCTTTTTAAAAAAATATTCCGAACATATTTTGTAGAGTGAAAAAATGATTAATTACTTTTTTTAATTTTAATTAATAATTTATTACAACTTAGAGGTAATACAGTGAAATTTTTATTTTACGCACATAATTATAATAAGTGTAATGAGTACAGTGTTTGTACCAGAATACTCGGATAGCCTTGGATTTTGTCCTTTAAAAAATCTAGCAAAATATTTGCAATTTATTTTTTTCTGTTCATTTAACGTAGCGTTCTGTTATTTTTTTTTTATTTTTTTTAATGAATGATGAACCTGGGATAGATTCTAAATTTCCCATATACGAGTATAGTGAAGTCTTGTTAAACCGAACCCTTTTTATCCGGAATCCTTCCTAATTCGAACAATTTTCTGATCTCTGTGATATTTACTTTAACTTAACATGAAACGACAAACCGTGTCGGAACAAGAAATATTTTCTTTAGGACGATAGTTTTCACATAACCTTGATGGTATACTATGCAAAGCATGTTCATTTTCAGTAAGCATATATAGTAAATGCATTTTTGTCTGTTGTTGTTGTTCTTTATTTATGTACACATGTATATTTATTTTTTATTTTTCTCAATAATATTTCAATACACAAATACAGTTTGCATTGTAAACCAAAATTGTCTGTATTTTTGAGCCACGTGTTCACTACAAATTATGTATTACATGTTTTCTGAGATTTTCTTCTTTACAATCATGTATATATGCAAATAACTAGTTTAAACCTACTTTTGGTTTTGCGTCAATATGAAACAAAAACAACAACAACAAAATTAAACTAAGTTGACATGATGATTGCTGACGTTTTGTTTTTCCTATTTAATAAGATTTCACACCATTTGTGCATTGATTTTCGCGCATTTAGTAATCCGCTTTTCGGATTAAACAGATTATCCGAAACGCACCTTTTTTTTTAAATTTTAAGACTATTAAAAAATTGTAACGTTACGACCATATCATGCCGGGCAGCAATAAGAATTTTATTCATTAAATTTCTCATTCATAAAAATCGAATTTTTACGTCTGATTTACTATAACCCTTAATTGTATTACGAAACTTGAACCTAGATTTAAAAAATATATTTGTAAGGATTTATTGTTTAAATCTTTCGTGTCAAGAATTTTGACCTTTGGTTTATTTTAATAAGCGAAAAAAAGAGAGTACAGTAACACTCCCTGGTCACACCTATTTTTATAATAAAAACAAGATGCATATTTGAAATATGCAATATCTTGCCGATTTCCATTGTTCAAATCGCGAAACAAATTAATACGACGATGTCAACTGTTATAATAAAAAATACCGCAGAATAAATGGTATATTTAAATTATAAGCGCAGCTATCTTAAGACAATAAATAAATATTGTGCAGCGCTTGTTTAAATTAGATCGCAAATGTAAAATGAAATATTTGACATATAAATTGCAGCCGCAAATATTTTTAGAAAGGTGAGAAAAGGACGAACACAATGCGTTGTTGTTATACAAAGCGTTATACCAACAGTCCGTTTGGAAGAAGAAAAAAGAAAAATAGGCATGGAAAAAATATTTTCCTTATTTTAGTTTAAGATAATATACTTGTCACCAGCTCGTGAAAATTCGTAATATTTCGGCACTATCCGGGTTTAATGTAAATTACATAAAGCGTTTTAATGACCAAGGCAAACAAAAAGTCTTGTTCACTTAACGATTTGAAAAGAAATAAAATGATAAGATTGAAAGTTCTGCAGTTTACATTACAGGGAAAACATGGAATAGTTCGGAAGTTGGCAAAACATCACCAACTGAAAGACTAATTTCATTAATCATGAACAGACGTGTTAAAAATTATAAATAGTTAGCCTTTACCCATAGCAATATAGCGGGGGTTTCCTCCTAAATATGATATTGTGGCGGGTACTTTTGTGCTTGTTACTGACCAGACATTTATGTAACTCAAGTGCCTTATTCCTTTCATTATTTCTTATTATTTCTTTAAGTAGTTTCATATTTTAATCAGTTTTTAAAAAAATCATAAAGAGGTGACATAACTAAATGCATATCAAAAATTAAACCGTCTGTTCTTTTCTTTTCTCCTGTTTAGTATTTTTGTCTAAGCCATTGTCTATCTTCATTTTAAATAGCAGTGAAAATCGGTCATTTGCGTAATTTGGTTTAAAACTTTGCATATCAATATTGAATTAGCGTATAACATTCTGCTCTGATTATTTAAAAAAAAATAATTAAATCTTGCACTTGTTAATACTTGTACGAATTATTTAAGATGGCATTGTCGTCTAGAGAGCAGACGTTCTTTTGCTGTCCACTTGGATTAGGGTTTAGTATTGATGATTTTGGTATTGTTTTCTCATCGGCTAACAGACTGACGGCTACAAATTTACCGCGATTTACGTGCTAAACCTAGATTAATTCCATATTGACTCAATCATTATATATTGTTTCCGACCAATAAGTCAATTGTTTTACAACTACCTATTATCCGACATTCCTACGATTTTTCAAAATCTAGTGTAATCTTTAAGTACATGTAATTTATCACTTAAACCACCATGAAATTGAAATCGCCATCTCTTAGACCAAAATATGTAGGAAAAGCTGATCAAAATCTCGTTGTGGTTAAAATGTTATGTTTTACTAATAAAATGTATATATTTTAAAGTATTTGTCATCCAATAAGTATTTTACGTTGTTCAACACACCTACATGAAAAACTGTTCGTATACTAACTGATAATACTTAGATAGCGTTCAACAACTACTGTCCGTTTCGCTCATCCGTAGTCGACCAATCATATTTGGTTTAAATTTGTCATGTGACACGGCCATATATATTCAACGTAAACAAAATGTTCGGGTTATACCTTTCGTGTAAATACACCTTTACATTTGGATGACTAATTGAGATAAGATTACCATTACAACTATATAACTATCATTGTTAAATTTGGACTGTAGTGAAGTTTGGACATATTTGAAAGTGCATCGAAAGTGTTGCTAACACATTAACGGACATTAATATAATTAAAATAAAAACTGTGATACAGTGACTATTAGTGCTTGTATTTTCAGAACATTTTGCACGTTTTTAGACTTAAATCTTAATTTTCAAAGCAGACGACAAAATGTCAACTTCCAGACGACAAAGTTTAGATGTGCCAGAGATTCATCATGAACAGAATGCTGACGACTACACAGCGTCTATAGAACTGTCGAACGCTTGTAGAGAATTCTACAGGAATCGCGTGAAAGCAACGGAACACTTCAAACAGTCGATGAACAGCAAACATAATGTGGAAACAACTAAACCTAAAAAGAGAACCACGATAGATGATGCTATGGATAAGCTAAGAACTGAAATGGTATGCTAAACCTTTATTTACAACAACAATAACAACTTAAGTTTGCATTTTTGCAATATTTCAAAAATAAATCTAAAGATTACAATACAATTTGCAAATATTGTTTTCACTGAAATTCTATTACCTGGTTGTTAATTTGAATTATGGTAACACTAACAAGAAAACGTGAGACATTTACGTGAGATAACCAATGTCATCATGTTAAGTTTATATAGCGTTATATTAGTATATTTTATACATTAATATAATATTACTATTCTGTCTAATTTCATTTAATACATGCTCGTTTAAAAAGAAAACTGCTATACACTTGTACTGTGACAATTTTGTTAAAAAAATTCTCGCAATACTTTTTTCTTACTAAAAACTAAAAACAAATAAACGGAAACACTGGACTTCTTAGAAGAAAATGTATGTGAAATAAAAATTTAGGTCAAGATTGTCCATTATCTCACTGACACTAGATTTAATCAAATGTTTAAGATGTGTTTAAGATGAAAGAAAATCGCTTCGTCACCCATTAAACTCGAAACTTTCAATAGGCGACGCAGAGTGAGACGGGTATTTCAATGGTTTATCCGGGTTATTTGCATCTCCTTAACTGATATTTGTTGAATCATTTAGTCAATTTAATGCATACCCGAGACGCATAAATGTATTCAGATTTATTCTCCGCATGATATTCTTCACACGATGATGCCAAATTTAGATTTTATTAAAGCTCCATAGTTTATTGCACAATTATTATTTTTTCATAATCTGAATTTTAGTTTCAACTAGATTTAACCGGAATTTTTCATTTCTCCAATTTCCAAAAAGGTAACGAATACGAAAATTAATATCAAATTTCATTTTAAAGTTAATTGCAAAACCTTTTTTAAATGCTGGAAAGTAAATATTTGCGGTAAAAGTGGGGCCTTCCTTACATACCGTGCGCTTTGATTAAGGACTTCAAGGAAGGGCATCTTTTTTCCTGGCAAGGCTATTTTCCGTACGTTTTGCCGTTTTCAGACAGCAATTATGACTCTATGGTGCCGCATTTATATAATGTGCCACCTAAATGCAAAACTATCATAACTGATCTAATTAGTTTTCCTAATTACGTACGAGGTCAAATAAACGATTAGCTATTCAAACAAGATCAGAGACCGTGTACCTTGTCATCGGAGGCATTTTTTATTTGACTAGGTCATTATATTGGCGACACAAATTTGTTGTCAATCGCCTAATATAACAGACAACCGCTTGATGACACTGACCACGGCTTTCATTCGGCAATACATTATGCAATATCAATAAAACTATGTCTCTTCCTACCTCCTAAGGAGAGAAGACTCTTCAATTGAAAGAGTCAAAAGAGTGACTTCTACCAGGCGCATATGACAAAGTTAGAATAGTATTCAAATTAAACAATTGAAATTCAAAGAGCTATGACGTCAATGCTTAGATTCAGAATAATGCTTAAAACAAAAGATGACAAATTAATATACTTTTTGGCCGATGCAAAATTCCCTATGAAAGATTTATCTGATTTTGTATTTCATCAATTTTACGTTTGTCATCGGGGATATACCAGTAACATCTATGTTCTTTTGTATCTTAAGCAAAAACCTAAAATCACTCTACAATGTTTTTGATCAGGTGTGTCTATTGTGAATCCTCAGTGTTGGTAGGAACCATACAAATTAGATTTCGACACAGAGACACAAAAAAACCTTTTCACATTTAGCCATTGTTCAATCCGCTGTTTCAAAACGCCCTTTACTGAATGCTCTGTTAATCATTTTTGTACTTTTTGCTACAATGCATCCTTTACCAACAAAAAATCTCAATCATTATTAACAAGATCTCAATCAGTTTTAAATTGTTATCTGTGGGTTCAGATTTGTAAGATACAAGGCACAGAGTTTATTAGACATTATGTGATTTGTCAGTATTTTTTTTTGTTGACAGCAAGTTTTTTGTTCTCAGTAGGGGAGTCTTTTGTCGGATAAGATTTTTTATCGCTAGATCGTCCATCTTTAAAGCATTAACTGGCGTTTATAACACTTGTAAATAAAGCCGCTTTTTGCTATTTGTGACAAATGCATCTTTGTTCGTGGTTAAAACAAACATATAAATATTGATACACCGTCTTTTTCAATATAATTTAGCTGGTATTAGTTATTCAAATGATCTTTATCTAGAGTGTTTATCTAAACTTGAAGTAGCTTATTGAAATTGGGCTAAATCTGTTCCATGGGGGGTAGGAAAAAGAACGTAACGCCAAGTATCGGTACAATTTTGATTTCTCTTCAAACATTATGTAACCCATATCAGAGCACTTTATTTCAAGATTAATTTCATATTCGTCGATTTGGAAAACAAATCACTTAGTTCAAGTGAGAGGTCAATCTTGACTTTGCCACCCGTGAAACTTGGCTACAAAAACTACACGAAATAAATGACTTCAAATATGAAAATAGAAATGTTGTGACAAAAATTTACCTCCTTTGATGTTAAGATTTAATATTCGCATATAAAGGTAAACAAACTTAAAAAAGGAAAAGACCTCCCCTGCAATGCTTTAAACGTTTCACGTACATTACACGTTCATTTACAAACATATCACGGAAGATATCAATAAATCATACATTTTTTAAGAAAAAAAAATGTCCATTCAAATCTTGTTTCAAAACGAAAGCTTTCTCAGCAGACGATATTTCGAGCGTTCATAATTAACTGTTACATTTCACAACGCAATCATACTTAAAATTTGATACAAATCTACGCGAATGCCTTTTGGCCTCGAGATATATTTATCGTTACCGTCTGCGGCTGTTTTTTGTGCAATGACAGTGAAAATTTAAAAGTTATAGCCATAGATCATATGAATTTATGACAGTGGCGACAAATTACTGTTATCAATACCTAAAATCTCTGCTTCGTCACTTGATAATAAAGTCAAAATTGAATGCAATCTACAAATGTTTATCTAGAATACACTTCAAATTTGTGAAATTTATTTTCGAAATTACACCTGAGTATCTCTTTTCCATGATAAATGAGCCATACTTTAGAATTTGTCAACGTTTTTTACGACATTACATACTAACATTTATATCAACTGCATGCATTAAATTATCTGGTTTGAAATAGTTTTTACTTGTTGAAGTGGAGTCAAAATTTGTAACGTATTCTGATATAATGTACTAAAAGCACAGGTGTAAATACTACACCTTGTCATACACCAAAGGACGATGCATTTTATAAATTGGACCGTCAGATCTGCTCATCGTGTTGATTTACAATGTCCTCTGGCAACTTCAACTTGACAACACTCTTGTTTTTGATGGTTTTTGCTGTAAAAACTATAAAAACGAAATAATGCTGTCCTTATTTGCATACATCTTGTTACTAATTATATAAATCTGTCTAATTTGCCGAATATTTTTCTCTAATCATGTCATGACAACATCATGTAGACACCCGAGGACTACTGAGTGCAGTTGTAAATTAACATTATAATCTAAACCAACATTTACAATTTAAATTAAGATAAATGTCACAGTGCAAATATTTAAGATTTTAGCATAATGTATTATTAAACCTTTTAAGCAATATTGCCTTTGTTTCAAAATAGTTCTTTTTGTTTTTTCCAGGCATCTCTGATGGACCAAGATCTTTCATTGATGAAACAACTTCTCACTCTAAACGAAGCTATTGAAGATTTAAAAACAAAGCGTCTATATCATGTGAGCAAAGATTCACTCCGTGCCAGCTCTCAAGAATTGCACGCAAGCGATTGGTCAGTTTCAGAAACAGACATGTTTGAAACTGATGATGAGAACGAAAAGAAACTTGACTTTAAAGACAAAATGTCTTCCTTATCTCTTCCTGTGCCTCTAACACAGGACTCAAAATTTCAAGGTCATATGGGATTTTCTCGACGATCAGACATTACAATCTTGGTACGAGATTCAATCCAAATTAACCACAGACCGCAAAGTTCTTTGGACTCAGGCTACGGTGATGACACATACCAAAAGATGTACAACGGACCGATTGAAGTTTCATTTTAGATTTCTGTTATAAATATGCATATAAATGTATAAAGTGAACACACCCCAATCATGTACTCAATACAAACAATTGATAAGAACTGTTTCCCGGTCCACAGTGAGAGGAAACTGGCTCCCGTCTTGAGACCAACGCATCACCTAAGATGAAGCGGGTCATCGGACGGCTCCAAGCTGGAAAACCAGGTGCTGTGATGAACGTTTGTGCAGAAGCATCAGACGTTACTATGCGAAGATTAATACCTGGGACTTTATGGTATGTATTTCAGAATTTTATGTATCTACTAATGTTACCGATACTTTCATGTTAGTAATCAATAGGAAATATTAAAGAAACAAATCAAATTGATGATTAAGTACATTCACACTGTAATTTTAAGTTAGTAGAAGCTTGTTGTTGTCAATAACTGTACCATTACCTTATCTTATTAAAATTAAAAAAAAACGAATCGAACATGTATATTTATACCTATTTTTACTTTTTCTGTTTTCAGTTTCCAACTGCCTAGCCAAAATGTTGTCAACAAACTTGTACAGTTCTCATCTCCGTGTTTTACCATCGTTGTTCATCAAAGAAGGATCTTTTCTATAAACTCTTCATCAAAGAGACAAGATTAGAATCTCCGTATTGAAATATAATTTAAATAAACTTTCCGTATAAAGGAAAGAACTTCCATCAAATAAAATAGACTGTGTCGCTGAATTGACCAGCATGACTGTGATACCAACAAAAAATAAACTATGTCGGATGGGAATTATAAAAACTGAAAAGAGATATGAAATGCGAAATGATCGTTGTTACACAAGACACGAACTTGATATCGAAAACAACTGTCGCCGTAGAGTTCGTCTCATCCATAAACATTCAATGCAGATGCACGCGCGTGCTAGATTTTATCTGTGATAAATATATATATGTATTTCAATATATTATCCAAGGACTATTTTATACGAAGACTGTGTTCAGCAGACGATATGTAATAATTATTATACAGTGTCAGGTATTGCGAAAAATGTGAAAAAAATGTACTGTTGCAAAATCGAGAAAAATAATTTAATCAATGAATAACCATACAAGTTTTGTACATTGGCGTTATTACTGTTATGATTTAGATTTAAAAAGTATTTTCAAGAATCTGTAAAGTATACTTGTTTTGTTTAAACAATTACCATGCCACATGTATACTTAACATGTGTACCTTTTAAATTAAATTTCAAAACGGTAGAAATCAGGTAAATGTAACATTTATGTCTACAATTATTCGGTCACTTAATGTGTATGTATAGATATGTCTAAAATTTAATGATAGGTTTGATTGATTTAAAGGTTTTGACATATATATTTTTTAAGGTTATATAAATTTGTAAACGATATTTTGAACAGCAATACGATCGCCCCATTTAATTGCTTGAATTGATATTAATGTATTTTTTCAGTATAATTGGATTATTTTATATATACCTGATACAAACCGTGTAATTTATACTACAAGGGGAGGTAGAGTAAAGTATATTTATGTAACCAAATATATGTAATTAGATGTGCTAGGGCGGATCTAAAAGTCTATAAATGTATGTGCACAAAATTAACTGTGCAAGAAATCAAAATTGAAATACATATACGCAAAGTGCAAAGTGGCTTAATAAAAACTTGCCGAAAACATTTGTTTGTCTGAAAAAACTACAACATGATATTTCAAACAACATGTTCATTGTTGCTCAAAAGACCACAAATATCTGAATTTACCACAGTATGATCCGCCCTTGTATTGTATGAAAATTGGTTAAAATAATGCAAATTGTGAGCGAACTAGTATGACGTCACGTTTTGGGAAAGAGCCAGTATGAACAAAGCTTCTATTCTAGTCAGTATGTTATTGATATATTTGTTAATTGAAATAAAACATGTAAAATATACGATGCTTTTTTCATTTATGAATGGTAACCCTTGTGTCGAGTTTTTCTGACATGAAATCAGTCCTCCCAGTATACATGTACTGTTCGATGTCGACTTGACATATACAGTTCAGCAAATGTATACAAATCGGAGCTTGAAACAAAACCTTTAGCAAAATGTTGTTACTTTTTTCAAATCGAAACATATCCTGTTCACGAGAATCATTCTGTCGGTTACTTCATTTCATAATGAGCCTTGCATGTCACAGCAGCTCTAAACTTGGATAATATTTAAGTATATGAAGAAGTACTCCATCAGTAGTACGAGCAACAACAACAGCAGCAGCAGCAGCAACAACAAGAACAACAATACCAACAACTTATGCAAATGATAGTCCATGTACAAGAATAATATTATGCTTACATTGAACGGTATATATGTATAATGTATCGTTAAATTTCATTGGCCAGTCCTCCAAAACAACAATTTGGTTTGCTAAACATCTAAGACAGTCTTAAAATGAAAAGTAATAAAAGCAAACGAATAAGAAATGTCGGCTTGCAGACTTGAACCCTTGATCTGCAGAAGTTGTTAAATGGATTTACCCAGCTTTAAATCTGGAACAATCCATTCAAAGTTTAAGGGATTTCAATTTGAAAATATTAATGTGAGCTACCGACAGTATAGATTATAGCCGGGCTGCTAGGATGCAATAAAGCAATGATTAAACTACATGGGTGTCGATTCAGGAGCAAAAGTTTAATTTGACTGATTAAGAAATTATATATACAAATCACGTAAAAAAGTTAATAGCATATATTAAAGTATTTTCAACTTTTTGTCCTTTTTCGCCATTGCCCTACATCTTTTGTTTATCCAAGTTAGAAAATGGGGGAATTTAGTTCTTTTCCGATATATTTACATAATGTAGAAAATTTAGAAAACTAGTCAACTTTTATTGCGTTTTAAGTTTGCTGAACTAAAAAACCCTCTAAAACTTGTTAAAAGTATATTGCAAGGTCATAATTACTTCATTTACATTTTAAGAGTGATAATAAATCTAGCAACGTGACATTTAATTTACGTAAGCAATGGTGGTGGTGTCGGGTTATAATCACCTCGATAGATTAGCCCAGATGGTAGGTTCTGGGCCTTCTTCGGTGTCACGGGGAATTTGTAACGTATAATCATTTCAGGTAATCTTCTCTAATTTTCTAAAAGAAATAAAAATCTAAATACGTTTTAAAACAAATATAAGAAAAAGTTTTGTAGTTAAGCTCCTTGCAAAGGTAATTTAGTGTACGCGTACCGTGAATAAATAGAAAGAAAAAAATCTTGGCATATTTCCAATAAATTAAACAACAAATTAGAGCGTGCAAAAGAAGAAGAAATTAGTTGTTGAAAATAGATGAAGGAAATTGTAATCGATTTGATGGTTTTGTTCAGTCAATTACATGTGCAGTGAATCTTTCACACGAGGTATAAAAGAGTTATTCTTGTTATAATATATTAGACATTGCCATGCAATGTATAATTTGCATGTGCATGCTCAATGAAAAAACCTGGGAAGAAATGCAGCTGTGTTTTTTTAAAGATGTCATTGCTGTGTTGTGTAATTATTTGTATTTGTTCAAATGCAGAAAAATGAATCCACGCTCCCATGTTTTCTCTAAATAGTAGGTGTTTTGTTTTATTGAAGACGACACAGCTCGTAGAGTAAGGTTTATTGTCTCTAATAACGAAATGGTTAATACAATTTTAAGGCCATCATTTTGAGGAAAAACTGAAAGGATTTATCAACATACATGTTATAATTTACGCTGCACTTAATGAATGTTCTTTTTTGAAGCATTTCTGTTTCACAGGAGACGGGAGTTCTAATGTGACACTCTTATTAATAATTTTGTTTGACACGAACGCAAACCATGACTTTAACTCCGACCAAGCAAGACCCTCAACGTCTACAAGAAAGACATCTCAAAAGCGCTTATTTAGTCTTTACTTAAAGAGCATCTAATCTTAAAATCTGGACAAATTGTGATCCCTCGAAAGCAATTGTCACAACAAAATAACATGAAAATTGCAGACTCGGTTTTATTGAGTCTGTACATGAGGTATAATGAAAAAGTGCAATATCCCCCACACCCCCTAGCACCGGCTTGAACGGTACTCATTTTTCAACACTTAAAAGTGCTGGAGTCAATGATCCCGAAGGACAAGAAAAATACATAAACCAGAGAATGACAAGTGGCTCGAAACGGCGACCTGCATCGCTTTGCTATGGAGGCCAGCTGTGTGACACATGACATGATCAACCTTTAAAATACATATGAAATTATTCAAACAAATTAGTTAATATACTAATTCATACTAAATCAACACATCATTTTATAAAAAAAAAGAATGATGTGTTGTGAGACTTTATAATGCGTATTTCATTAAAGTTGTTATAGGAGTAACATTGTACCACTTTCATTTTTCCGTGTTTTTCATGTTTATTTTTTATTTTATCTTCCTTTTTAACCAGGTTTTCAATTTTGAAAATCCTGGTTATTAGATTGGGGTATGGCGGGCGGATGGGCGGATGGGCGGGCGGGCGTCAAACGAAATTGTGTCCGCTCTGTAACTCTTCAACCCTTTGAAGAATTTTGATGAAACTTCAGACAAATGTTAACCACATCAAGATGACGTGCAGAACGCATGTTCCGCATGGCTGGCTCCAAGGTCAAGGTCACAGTGACATTAACATTGAAAATCCTGTCCGCTCTGTAACTCTTCAACCCTTTGAAGAATTTTGATGAAACTTCAGACAAATGTTTACCACATCAAGATGACGTGCAGAACGCATGTTCCGCATGGCTGGCTCCAAGGTCAAGGTCACAGTGACATTAACATTGAAAATCCTGTTTACATGATTTTAACTTGATTTGGCAGTCAAAGGTCATAATAATATCATCTTTGGAGGTAATTTAAAAAAGATATGATATATTATTTCATGTCTACTTTGTAACTTGTTTTTCATTATACAGAATTATCAATATAATTATAGTGAACAAATTCTTCTGTGCTGAACTCGTCCTACATTTCTCAACGGATTTTGTTCAAACTTTCACAGAAGCTTTGTCATCAAGCACCCTGGCACATATTGTCGGGGTTTTGTGATTGGATAGTTTTTGACCTAATTATGGCCCTTTGTTTTTTTCCTTATACATAATATTATAGTGAACACTTCTTCAGTGGCAATTCCTCCTACATTATTCATGTTTTACATTGCACATAGTTACATTGTTTGTTGCTTGTATTTGTATTTCAAATACAACATATTTATCTACAATGGCGATAATTGAAAACCTGGTTTCATGGCATTGCCATGTTTCTTGTTTTAAGTTAAAATGCAGTTTTTCCCATTTCGGTATCTAGATTGTGGTAACATACTTACTGCCTAGACACCGTGAATTGCTAGCAAATAATTTATAAATAAGTGAGGAAAATAAGCAATTACATTTAGATTGAATGAGATGATATATGCTATACATTATCTCAATTTACGAACATGAAAATATTTGGCAATCTCATACCGATCTTAATGAAAGTGCGTAAAATTACCCCGTTTTATAAATCAACTTTTCATTTATAATTGGGCAATATGTAATAACATATATATAACACTATCGTCACACATCTCCGGTGTTTAATTCATATACTATATGCTCAAAGGCATGACGTGGTCATCGATTATAATCGAAATGTCATCGCAACCAATATGGGCATAAATTGCAACAAATATTCTTTTTATTTGATGAGAACAGGCCGCACACATCAAAGACTATACACGTCGTATCCTGATAAAGAATGATAAATCGAAATACTTTATCATACAATTAAACCATTATTTAAATTGTGTGTGTTTGTGCTGAAAACAAATTGCCTGATTAAGCCATTAAAAATGCACTATTTTGTGCATTAGCTCACAGAATGTATTCCGTCAAATAACTGAATGTGTATAACATTTTTATAGTCTAAACATTTTTAGTCGTATAAAAGATAAGTGTTGATATAAAACATATTTATTTGAATGTAGATTTTTTTATAAGAACCTTTTTCAGAGCAATGAAGATAGAGTAATGAGCTGAATTTGCATATTTAGCTTTTTTAAAATAAGAACGTTCACGCGAAACAATAGACAACTCGTCTATTTTTACATACATGTAATTTATCTGATTATTTTGAATACATTTTTTTCAGTTTGACAGTCCTATAGTAATGAAAGCAACACAATTTCGAGATAAATAAGTTCTTGATGTCTTGCTATAGTGCTTTAATATAACATATGGCTGATTGCAATATGTATTTGCAAGACATCGAATAAGAATCGATTCGTGCAAGGTACGGTTTGCGCGCTCAAAGATTCCATTTCATTTAGGAAATAGATATAGAAAACCTCTAATTGTTTCTCAGAGTGTGCTAACGTGGCCATTATATCACTGCAAATGCCATATTATGAGTTGAATTGGTGATGCATATGGTCTGTTTATGTATGTTTAGCAAAGAAAACTATTTGAAAAACAATTTTGTAATAAAAGAAGCATTAATTTTCATGTTATGGTTTACTTTCACAAAACCTTATCATAGTAGAGGAGAGATTACAAATGTTTCTTATGCTTGTAATTCATTAACTTTAAAATCGTTTGATTACTTTCAGTTGCAGTTTTATCACGCATAAATTGAAACATTAGTTGATGAATGATAAAAGTTTAAGATGTAAAAGTTTACTTTTTTAGGCAATTAAAGCTACAAACAGATTTTATTTTATACCAGAAGATGTACATGTAGACATATTCTGTTGAAGTGAGATACGGAGAAGACCTAACGAAAACGGAACAATACGCGAAAATACGATAAGTAGACCAGATGTTTATTTTATTAAACCCTATTATCATCGTGATGTTTGGTCATATCACTCTTTCAAAAACACATTACACTTCACATGCTATATTGAAAGTGTATTATTCTAAAAATT